GGCCCGGCCCCGCTGCGATGGCAGTACCCGGCGGAGGAGGAGACGGGACCCGCGTGGGCTCACCCCCGGCTCCCCCGGAGCAGGGCGGCCACCTCGCTGCGGGGCTGGACCCTGAATCCTGCGCGGGGAGCGCTCCCGTAAGGCGGCTCTGCGACGGGGACAGGTGCTGTCTGGGCTCTCGAGCACTGCAGCCCGTGTGGCCTTCAGGAAAAACACCTGCTTCCTCAACGTGCTGGCTCTGCGGGCATCGCCCTCGCGCAGACATGAAGTATTTGGACACGGAGTTGAAGCCGGGTTGGCTGCTGTGCGGGCCGGGCTTTGAGGGTGCTGGGTTACGGCTACGTGATGGTTGTGATAGACTAAAGGGCATTGGCGAGGCATAGGGGGTGCACGGGATTGCACGCAGGTGCACCCCTGCGAAAAGGCGCTGCCCACACCACTGACACTGACCGCTGCCACAGCCCTGCTTCTCTCCGATTTTATGACTTAACCCAGGGGTGTTCAACCTTTTAAAATCTGAGTAACCCGGCGGCCAGACGCCGAGCGCGAGGGGCACGGTTGAACTTGGAGCAGGAGGCAGGGACGGTGCGCGGGCGGGGATGAAGTGCTGCCGCCTCCCAGGAGCAGGACCAGGGCTGGGGTGAGGGCAGCAGCACCCCTCTATCCCTAAAATATATATCCTTAAACATATCCCTCACCTCTGTGGGGTGGGGAAGCTCACTGGGCTGGTGTGGCCGCGTGCGAGCTTCCCCGCTCTGCAGAGGGGCGCCACCAGCCTCACCCGCCCCAGCCCTGCAGCCCTCTGTCCCCGCCTGCCTGCGTGTACCCCCTAGGACCAGTCCAGATACCCCCAGGGGTACACATACCCCTGGTTGACAACCCCTGATTTAACCTGACTGACAGCCCACTGGTGTTGAGTAGAAAGCAGAGCAGATATGTACCTTATAAGACTAACCAGAGTGTAATAACGAGATAGTACAAGCTTTTGTGGGCTGAAGCTCACAAAATAAAATGCATGAGCTCTTACCATCTACGGAGCTGCAATGAGTCAGTCATCCCTTGATTGGAAGCAAAACCAGGATCTGTAACATGCCTTTACAAGTAAGTTATGGTAGGATATTGCCTCAACACATGCTCTATTAGCTAGCCAAATGGTGGAAATCATTTGAGTTCCCTACATTGTCTCTCTCATGCTTTCATTCTGTTACACCTGTACTCTTCACTGGCTCTGCTCTCTCAATCTCTAAACATAAAAAGCAACTGCAAGGAAGTAGCAACAAGACATGCACATATAAAAACATTTCTTTTGTAATTCTAGTTCTCTGTGTGTGTTTTTTTTTTTGTTGTCTTGCATTCCAACCTCTCCCACAAGCACCTTTATTGTACATTGCTATGCTTGTATATCAGGAATATATCTTATATATCTGGTTAGGTGACCTTGTATAGAACTAGTGGTCTGATCATGCAAATGCACACCTGTTTACATTTACTAGTATGTGAAGTCCAGTTGCAGTTAAGGGGATAGCTGACACTTTTATATTTTCATGATTGGCTCCAAATTGAAGTCCACATAATCTTCCCTACTGGATCCTTATGCAAAATTGAGATCTTACACTTGAGATCTAGAGGTGCAAACTCCTTGAGATGGGGCTGTAGATCTGAAAAGCACCATATATCCTTAAAATTCTGTAAATACAGCAACACTATTGTGAGCAATCTGTTCCCTCTGATTTTCATCAGCAGTGATGACCAAATCCTGGGCCAGCTAACGGATTGTAAGTAGGGCTGTGCAAAGCTTTGGTAGCTGATTCAATTTGGAGGAAATTCGACTTGATTCGGCAGCCAAATCTCTGAATCCGAATCGAATTGAGAGATCCAATAAAAGCTCTGAATTGAATCAAAGCCTCCAAATTGATTTGGATAAGATTCATAGATTCGGAAGCCAGACATGCAGGGAACAGAAACTGAGAAGTGGGGGGAGGGGGGAAGACTGCTCTGATATTGACATCTGTAGCTGGCCAGTGATTGTGGTCTTTCCCTGAGTTCCCTTCCAATCACAGTGCTCTGGGGGAAGGACGTAGAAACAACATATAAGGCTGTGTGTGAACTCATCTATGTGCCTTTCGTGAGCTGTCTGTCTCTGTTGCAGCAGTAGCAGCGTCTGAAGGGCTCTGGCTTGGTAGTAGGTAGTCTCTTGCCACCAAGTTCTATCCAATCTTTTCCTGTTTACCCTTGCCCACAATCCGTAGGCAATGTTATTCAGTCCTTTCAGCTTATTCTTCTCCCAAAATCCTCTTATTTGTTCTTGTTAACCTGTCTCCCCGCCTCCCCCCCCCACCCAAAAAAAACCCAACAAAAACAAAACAAAAATGAATTCTGTGTTTTCCCTGTCAGTGTGTCATCACTGTGCAGGAAAGCACAACATATATTACATATATTACATATGGGTAAAGGTCCCAGAGAGAGGACCACAGCTGGAGGAGGTGAAAGATGCCATCTGTGAGACATAGGCCTCAGTGTAGGGGAGGTATGGGGCTGCGAAATGGATATCGCCCCTAGACATCAGAGGCCTAAATGGGCAGCCTCCCCCCTGGGTAACATCTGAATGAGTTTTCCATCAAGGCACGGGAGGCCAAAGAGGGGCAGGAGGTTGGCCCCAAAACAGGTGGGTGGACTGAGATCTAACCAGCACCAGGAAGGCCCCCTGTTATAGGCTGCCATCCCTACTGCATTCATCCCACTCTGCCTTAACACACACAAGGTAGACAAGGTTCTTTGGGTCAAAGTGATATCTTTTATTAGACCAGCTGAATAGTTGGAGAAATATATCTTCGCAAGCTTTTGGCTTTAAAAACCCTTCACCAGGCTGAAGAAGCATCTGCAGTTGGTGTGCGCACTCTTCCTGGATGGAATGAATAATAAAGAAGCCAGAGGCTATGCATGCAAGAAAGCCAGTCAGTGAAAATGTAAATTGAGGCATCTGGGTGAGAGGCAGGCTGAGAGGGAGGGGAGAAGCGGGGTGAAGCAGGTAAAAGTGGAGAGGTACCTGGGGAGTCAGATATCAGGCAGGATACAGTGTGTCAGAAATCCAGTGTCTATATTGAGTCCATGAGTTTTTGTATTGATGAGGTTGATGAAGTGAAGTTCATAGGCTTGTCTGCGAAAAGTGTTTTGTAAATTCCCTTTGAGGATCAGGACTGAGAGATCGGAGAGAGAGTGGTTTTCTTGTGAGAAATGTGCCCCCACTGATAATTGGGTGTTATCTTTAATAGATGCCCGGTGTGTATTCATTCTGGGTCACAGTTATTGTTTGGTCTCTCCTATGTACTTTCCATCAGGGCATTTGGTGCACTAGATGAGATATATAACGTTTCTGGAGGTGCAGCTGTAAGATCAGTTGGCTTAGAAATGGTATTTAAAGGCCTGTTTTTTGGGAATTGGCTTATAGGTATAGATATATGCATTATAAGGGTTCAGGGTGGGCAGCAGGGGTTAAATGGATTTCTGAAGAACTCGGGAGACATGCACACAGCTTCTCATGACCCTGAAAACATGGGCTGTCTAGCACAACAAGGCCAACAAATGAACACAGCCTGAGAATTGAGGGGAGCATGCCATACCATGAGAACATAGCCTTCAAGGCAGACAGGTTGTCTAACACAACAAGGACACACAGCCTGGGAACCAAAGAATATGTACCATACTGTCCCATGACACAAGTGACACCAGCAACAAGGCCTCAGAGAGCAGAAGGGCCTAAGTCCCAGTTTTGGGGGAACAGACCAAATTAGAAGGTCCGGAAGGCTACATGGACGTGTGACCACAGATGGAAAGCCACGGATGAAGAGTCATCAGGAGTCATCAAAGGGGAAGGAGAATACAAAAGCAGAGACTTGAGATTAACAAAGGGTCTCTCCCTGTATCTCCCTGTTTTGCTCCCTGAGAGGAGTCCCTGTCCCTGTCCCCCAGGAAGGGTCCCCAAGGCCACTATGGACAAAGGGCATGCACCAGCAGCCTGTCTCATCCACCCCACGATGGGGGCTGTGAGCCTTGGCATCCCACCTCCATTCTGCTGACACCTGAGAAAGAGCCTCAGAGTGGAGCCTGCATCCTGACCAGATGTGCTTTGGCTCTGATGACAGCCCTAGGATTGGTAGATATAGAATTGCTTGATTGTGTTGTTGCTTTTTTTGTTATCACTCTATCAATAAATTTGCCTATTATCAACTGGCATGTGTTATAGTCGATCTGAGGGTTATGCTTGCCTGGAACAAAGGTATAGGGGCTGGGTTCCTAAAATCCAGTGTCAACAAGATCCAGGAATGATGATAGTTCTGTTGTGGGGTGTAGTAATTGTGGGGGTACTGAAGATACGTTAGCAGGTTTTGCATTTCTTGTCATGGCATGGTCTGGATTTGTTCAGTGCATTTCGGGCTGTAGGACATTTGTGTTTTGGGGTGATGAGGTTAGTGAGGTTCGGTGCTTGTTTGAATTTACAAAACAGTTTTCACAGACGAGCCTATGAACTTCATTTCATCAACATCCTGGGAACAAAAACTTATGGACTCAGTATAGACGTTGGATTTATGACACACAGTAGCCTGCCTGACATCTGACTCCTCAGGTACCTCTCCACTTTTACCTGCTGCATTCCCCCTCCTCGCCCCCACACCCTGTATCTCGCCCCCTGATGCCTCAATTTACATTTTCACTGACTGGCTTTCTTGTCTGCATACCAGCTTCTGGCTTCTTTACTAAGCACACGCACCAACTGCAGATGCTTCCTCTGCCTGACAAAGGGTTTTTAAACCTGAAAACTTGCCAAGATATATTTCTCCAACTATTCAGTTGGTCTAATAAAAGATATCACATCTACTCAAAGAACCTTGCCTGCCTGTTCCTTAGACCAACATGGCTACAACCAGAAACCCAGTTAACACGCACGGGTGACATGAGTTTTGCTTTCAACAGTTTGAGGTGCACTTTCACAGAAACCCCTGCACCTATCTCCTTGAAACTTGGCAGGCTTCATGCCCTCAGAAGGGGCTACCATTCATGCTCTTTTCATCCAATTCTGCAAAAAACTGACAACGTTATAGGTATTTTAGTGATTCCCCATTATAGTCTATGACTGAATCACCGAATCGGCCAATTCAGTGGCTGAATTTTCAAATCCAATTCGGCAGAATTGAATCGGGAAAATGTCTTAAATCACCAAATCGAAACACTGTCCTTCCAAATCAGCCGAATCTGAATCGAATACTTGCCGCTTCACGCTGGCCTAGTTGTAAGCTGTACCTGCGTAAGCAGTTGCAAGGGGGAGGGTTAGAAATAGGAGGTTGGGCAGACATCCTTATCTCTTGGAGCTAGGACTTAGCAGAACAGGGTTGATTACTAGGTAATTGGGAACTTTATCTTGTAGGATCAATCAGAATAAAGTGAACTGATCTATCTTGGTGAGTCCATTTATCTGTGCTGTTGAATATAGTAATTTCACCAGCACAATAAAAAATTACAGAAGTGTAAAGGTATTAAGAGGGGTATGTGGATTCTGATTGTATTTTTTTAATATTTCTGTTTAAACAGTTTATATATATACAGTAAACATACTTCTTGGTTCTTTTTAATACTCTATTTTGAAGATGCTACCCTTCATTTGAACCAAGAAATAACACTGTTCACCCCTTACCCATTTTTTCTTTTTATGCTGCTTGCCTTTTCTAAGTCCCCATGTATCTGCACAGCTTTAAGTCCTGTTTAAATCTATAAAAGCAAGGGAAGTGCAGGGTTAACATACAACTTTCTGTTAACTCATTTTATTTTGGTATGGAAGGTCTACCTATGTTTACTACTTGAAACTCTACTTATTCATAAACAACATCATCCTCTTTGTTTTTTCTTCCTCCTTTCCAAGTAAAATGTGTATGTTTTCCTTCCAGATGAATCTAGGACACACACAACTTATTCTCTTAGCAAGCCCTGCAGATATTCTTCAGCTGTGATCCAGAGATGACTTTTAGAGCAGTTGTCTGTGTGTTCAAAACCATGTTCTATCTGTTAAAAGCTGACTAATACTCCCCCCAACCTCCCTCTCCCCAGTAATAACTTGCACAAGTAACAAGTTGCATACTATGAGTTACTTATCTACCCAATGAACATTATATACAAACCATATTTTCATGGCTAAATGCTTTGAATCTTTCATTTTAAAGATAAAAACAGCATCTGTGTTTAAAATCTTATTAAAATCCTTTAGTTCTTAATTGATTAAATTCAGT